TCATTATGCTCCCGCCAGCCCTCCTCGCGCTCCTCTTCACGCTTCTCCCACACGCGTCCGCCGCCGACCACAAGGTGCCGACTAGCAATGAATCGCTGCTATGGGGCCCTTATCGTCCGAATCTGTATCTGGGCTTGCGCGCCCGCATGCCCAAAAGTCTCATTGCGGGCGTCATGTGGGGGAAGCTGGAAGATGTAGAGACGAGTAAGTAGACACTATGAGGATACGTGTATGGCGCTAACTAGTTCTATAGCACTCCGACATGACGTGAACCAGAGCGACGGCATGGCCAGATACGGTTGGATCTCATACGATACACGAGAAGGCGGCCGACAAATGATAGAAGACGTCGGGAACAAGATAAACCTCATAACCGAGTTCATAAAGCACTCCGAAGGCCAGAGCCAGGGGAATTGGGGTTTGCGCATCAAGGGCATGCCCAGACCTGATGCGCCGAAAGATCTCAAGACTACCGTGGTCTTCTACATTGGCATGGAGGGCATGGAAGCCTGTGCCGACTGCAAGCTCGAGGCGCGTCAACAGTTTGAGGCCGATGAGAAGACGGTTCAAGCTGTGAATATGAATATTGCGCATCCGAAGTTGGGTAATGCGGGTATTCATATCCCTGTACCCATCAATGCAGATGAGAAGCGTGAAATAGCGTATATCAAGACGCTGAACGTTACGGAAGATAGGCTGTGGCAGGGCAAATGTAAGTACGATGAATGCCATATCTGTTTTCGTTCCAGCCACCTGTGATAAAACTCCTTCGTCGTCATGAACAACCAGCTGATGAGCATGTGCAAGAAGCCACCTTCTTGGAGTCGCTGAAAGACCAAACGAAAGACCGCACCGAGCCAGGACCAAATGATATCGTGCTGCGCAACGCTCCGGGCAACGGCAATTTGCAGTTAGTGCAGATGGTGTGCCATGGGGAATTCGAGGTCAGCACTACGATCATATGTTTATACTGAGACTAACCTCAAGCAGTTCGACATCCTGTACTCGAGTGATACTGCAAAGCGAGCCATGACCTGTGAGTACTCACCTCCGCCATTCTATACGAAGAAGCGCGTCCATGAACCAGATATGCTAATGCCTTCCAGCCGCCGGTCTTACCACCAGTCTAGAGGAAACCCTCGCATCCTTCGCCAAGAACTTCGACGCAGTGTTCACCCCGAAAACCCCCTTCACCACCGTTATGCACCGCGCTTTCTCTCGCAATACTTTCTCCAATCTGCTAGGTGGACTAGGCTACTTTACTGGCACTGCCAAGGTCGACACGTCGAAGAAAGCTATATACGCCGAGACTACTGCAAACTTTTGGCAGAAGTCAGTTGACGCAAAGAAGCATACAACACCGGAGACAAAAGGCCCGTATGAGCTTCTCACGCATACGCCATCTCGTGCAGCATTTCCTAGAGGCTTCCTGTGGGACGAGGGGTTCCATCTCCTTCTTGTCATCGAGTGGGATGCTGATCTCGCTCTCGAGGTGATACGCGACTGGCTCTTAAACCTCATGGATGATGATGGCTGGATAGCAAGAGAGCAGATTCTAGGCGCGGAAGCCGAGGGTGCCACGCCTGCTGAGTTCGTCACCCAATTTCCACACATTGCGAATCCGCCAACGATGTTTCTGGTCATCTCAAAGTTCATCGATATGCTGAAAGGCACGACAAAATATCATGGTCACGACTCCTTGTACCTCGCCAAAGCAGAGACTGGGAAAGCTCTGGTGACGAAGATGTATCCGTACCTCAAGAAGCACTACGACTGGTTCCGGAAGTCGCAATCTGGAGATGTGGAGGCCCATTCAATCCCGTCAGCCAACTTAAATGAGGGCTACCGATGGCGTGGCCGGACACCAGGCACGAATTTCGCCAGCGGAATGGACGATTACCCTCGAGCGGAACCTCCCGACATCACCGAGTTGCATTTGGACGCCTTGTGCTGGGTCGGCGTAATGGCACGAACACTAGAACGCATCGCGTTCTTCACCGAAAACGCCCACGACGCGCTCACATACCAAAACCACATCCGCGGCGTCAAAACCAACATCGACACCATACACTGGTCCAAAGAACCAAACACCTACTGCGATGCCGTCGTACGCAACGACCTACACACCCACGCCTGCCACAAAGGCTACATCTCCATCTTCCCTCTCCTCACCGGCTTCACCGACCCCTCACACCCACATCTCCCCGCCATGCTAACCCTCCTCCGCGACCCCAACCACCTCTGGACCGACTTCGGCGTCCGCAGTCTAAGCCCCGAAGACGACGCCTACGGCAAAGACGACAACTACTGGCGCTCGCCCATCTGGATAAACATCAACTACCTCCTCCTCACCAACCTCCTCGACCTCGCCCAAATCCCCGGCCCCTCACAACAACGCTGCCGCGAAATCTACATGGAACTCCGCAGCAACATCGTCCACACCGTGTTCAACTCGTATTTACAAACAGGCTATATCTGGGAGCAATACGACCCTGTTAAAGGCGCTGGACTGCGTACCCAGCACTTCACGGGCTGGTCGGCGTTGGTGGTCAAGATCATGGTTATGCCTGATTTGGAGAAGGATGATGGTGTCACGGAGAAGGTGAAGGGGTATTATGAGGAGGCCAAGAAGCAGGCGGGGATGAATCAGAGGACGGGGGCGGGGAGTGTGGTGTTTGCGGTGGTTTTTATGGGGTTTGTGTATGCGACTAGGAGGAGGTTTGCGGGGACTTTGAGGGGGTTGCGGAGGGGGAAGTGAGGGTAGTTATGGATGAGGAGGTGTTATTGCGCTTTCTGTGGACGCTGATGGTGGTAGAGGGGGGTCACAGGACTCGGCTGCTCGTATTATACCTATACATTCTTAGCTCTACGGTCCTTCCAAGGAGACCACCGATGAGAACTACGCGGTGCATGTAGGTTGTTCAATTCGGAGCCAGGGCTTAAATTCTTCCAAAGCTAGGAATATCTGGTAAGAGACACCACAGGAGAGATGCGGCCGTACGCGCGTATGTCTGTAATGGTATGAAGTGGAAAAGACTGAGACTATTAGAAGGAGCTCAAATTTACTGTATTGATGTTGATGACTATTGCAAGGCCAGTACCAATTGCCAATGTTGTTCAGTGCTCCTATGCGACATGTTTAGCCGAGTCTTTGCGCCTCGCATATGGCCCTAAAGTACTTTCCCGGAGGAGTTCCATTCTTCCAATTGCTCCTTCCGTCATTCTCGTTCTTCAGTAAGAAGCGCGTGCTTCCGCCAACCAATTCCCTCGCCCATGCCTCAATCGACTGACATAAGTCGGCGAAATATTGTCTCTTGTGCTCGAGCTTAGGCTCAGCCCAAGCTCGTGCGTTATCCAAAAGCTTTCCGTTCTCCTGAAAACCGTGAGGGACTTTGATTTCCACTGACATGCTTCTGCACCGTCCGCGAAGCTGTTTGAACCGATCACGTACATCGGGGTTCCGCACAGGGACCTTACTGTGCCACTTTGGTACCTGGCTTGGATCCATGCGAGGTCCTTCCGGATTATTAGAGAATACCTCACAGCGTACGTCCAGTTCCGGCGGATTCCATAACGCAAGACACTTCAGAAACGTATCGTTATATCCGGGATGCCAGGAACTTGGTAATGGAAAGGAATTTCCGACCACTTCGAGTGGCTCGTTGAGTTTTACGTGACGTATATTTTGGTTGAGTACCAGGGGGTTCCTCCGGGTGGGCGAAAGTTTCCATTGGGCGTATGGCGCAAGGTCGATGTGCTCAAAGCACTGCGTTCGGTGGAAGACTTCGAGTGCTTCAGACAGAATCGTCTGGCTAGATAGCATCCACATCGGAAGACCGTCTTCCTGATCACAGTACACGCGACCCGGCGCGTAGATTGGAAGCATTATGATCTTCGTCTCGCCGAAACTCAATATGCGCATCATGTCGGCACCCAGGGCATACTCGTAGATCTGGTCGCGCAATTCGCGTGGTAGACGAGCGAGCGGGGAGGGGTTGCCGGAATACTGCTTGGTAGATGCCGTAGTCGTTAGACTCTGGAGCGGGTCGGATATGCCGTTGTAGGACTTGTCATTGCGGAGAAGCATGGAGAAAGGTTCGAAGATAGGAGAAGATGAGGAATGGGTAAGTGTGATCTCCAGCGGATGCTCAAACTCACTTCTGCGAGTCTATTCAGCAACAGAGATCTGTGTCTGTCTATCTGATTTATGCCGTCACAATTATCAGGGCAGGTCAGGTGCTTCCACCGTTGTCTCAGCAGCAATGCCAAGCTTTGACGCAGGAGACTTCATTTTGCGATAGCACCGAGCAACGCGTAGGAAAAGGGCAATGATCGACAAAGAACCATGACCGACAAGAGACCGTGCTTCCTCATCTGGTGCTTCCGAAACCACAAGGAATGCGAGAATGTTCGATGATGGGGGCGCATTCTGGAGAGGCCATGGCTCTTGGTAGGACCTCGGGACCCATCCCACACGGCACCTCGATGGCACTTGCGTGGGAATATACCTACCTAGGTAGGTACACACTCACACGCCGTCGTCTATCCAACTCATCGTAAGTGGTTGCTCGTCGCTGGCAGATTCATATGTGATACCAGCGTATCGCATCTTCGTTTGATCAAGTAAGAGGCGTGTATGCTATGCAGTTTACGACCCCACACGAGTTGTCGTGAATACTGATGTACGTTGGTTTTGTTCATCGCTGCTCACATGGCCCCAGGGGTATGCTGCATTACACAATGTCGCAGTTTCGGCTACACCTTGAATGAGAATCTCAGAACTTGCCACTTCACGACTGTACATTGGTAGTACCAGGCGATTCTAAGGTTGGTGTTACCCTGAACCAAAGTTGGGTTGTCACGTGATCCGCTGATGCCTGTCGATCCATAGATGTCCCGACTGCACTTAAACCATCGATTCCCATCAGTTTTCCATCATCATTTCCATATCCACCATCAATCTACTATTACCTGGAATTACCGCTGTCATACTTCTCACAATGTTGGACCAACTGCAGTCACCTCTATTCCGCCTCCCCCGGGAATTGCGCGACAATATTTACGAACATTATGCGCACGATGAAAATGGCGTTTTCTACGACTATGCCTCGGACAAGCTTCGGTACGAAACCCAAGAAAAACATCAGGAGATGACTGCGCTGACACGCTGCTGCAAGCAAGCAGCTGAGGAGATGAAGGATGCGGCCATGCGAGCCAACACCTTAACTTTCTTCCCTGTGCGTTCCGATCAAGACTGCATCAGCGTAAAGGATCTTGACTCCAAAGCTGGACGACTTGAGCGACTGACACAAAGCGCGAGGCGTATGAAGATGCACATGCTGCACTTCGTGGCCAAGGGCGAATGCGTCACCCCCGAGATGGTGGATCAGGTGGCTACCCGCTTTCCCGGCATTTCCCGCTGCTATCGAAAAGCATACAGTGCAATAAAGGAAGGGAATGAGCTATACACCACGTTTGGAGTCAATCAAACCGACTATAGTTGGCGGTGGCAGACGTCGGCAACTTTCTGCGACGCTTTGCAATACACATTAGAGCTCGCATCCTCGCATCCCAAATTCGATCACTTCATAGCCGAGTCCATCGTTAGCCCGTATACCAGTCGCGGCATGATGCCTTCATTCACACCTGGATGCCAGAACGCCCTTCTCACGTGGAAGCCGGACCTGGCGCTGATTCCGACCGAGACTGATCTTGCTCTCGAGTCTTTTCTAGCCGACCCCCTCCCCCGAGATACTGATCGCCGTGTGACATGGGACGAGCCTATCGTACCTTTAGCTTGGTACTTCTCTGCTACAACTGTTGCAGTCGATTACCTCAAAAGGTTGCCCCAGAGTACTCGATTGCGCATACGACTTCCTTTCATCATCCGGGAGAACAAATTGGCCGTAGCTTACCCCGAGTCACACGCAAGATCTCTTGAACCCTACCTCTGCGAGAATAAAAACCTCCGGATTGACTTGCACGTGGGGTGTTGGACAAACCTTACACACCCATTCTGGCTACATTCGCCTTTCGACGACCAAAACCCGAACGAAGGTATAATATCGAAGGTAGAATTGCTACGCCCGTTTGCAGACTTCTTGGACGAGGTTCTTTCTACCTTCGATCGCATCCCGCACCCCGAGGCTCTCAGCATTCATATCGAGGGTCATCAAGACGAAAGCCTCATCGCATGGGAGACGTTTAAGCATGCAGCTAGCCTTCAAGAGGCCATGCTCAAGTCTGACTATATGCAAGGACATGACGATGTACAACTCAGTGAGCTGTACGATCCACTGTACTGGGGTATATCTTTGGGCGAAACGGCACTGAAGGATAGATTCCAATTGCCTCATCATCTACCGGACTCATTCTACGCGGTAGTCCGACAGATCACCGAAGGTTCTGGCTCCATCCACTTCGATGGAGACGCTGGTACTCCTTGGGATGCTAGAAGCATGATAGAAGCCCGGAAGCACTGGACACCGCAGCAATTCCTCGACGAGTGGGACGCCGAAATTTTCAGCAGATCCGTGTCACGACCGCCAGGAGGCGTAGCAGCTTTCAAGCAAATGTATAGGCTGTAAGAGCATCGACATCTTGCTTTATCGTGAATATGGCACTCTTGACATCAGATGACACCGCTTCGTTCTTTCCCACTATTGGTACCACGAAAGTGGGTTTCCCAGGTGACCAATGTGCGTTTTGTGGACTATCAGTAGTTATTATGCGTGTCAAATTTCATCCAATACAAAATACAAATAGCTTCACGGTGTTTAAAACTTGACGTACCGCTTGTTTATGCATGACACCTTATAGATCTAACGCAATAGACATAGAGTGAAAGTCTAACGAAGCAATATCCTACCCAGCTGGGTAAATCGATGCTAGCAAAAGAGTAGCGAGAATGTAACGCCGCTGACTAACGTAACGCGTGATGCAAACATGATGAACCAAAAATCGTTGCGACGACCACACTCAATATATTTATGTATATACACGCTCCGCTACTCTTTGATTCGTCCAGATTGTCGCTCATGACACGAGTGATCTACCATCATTCCCACTTGCAAGCACCCTTGTACCCATCCGCTTGAGCAGCGGAGAGATAACGGCACACATTGTACGTATCAGTCTCCTTGTAGTAAACCACCGCCAGCGCACCACCATTACCAGCAGGCCACTTGCTTCCCTGCGACCACTGCGGGATCGAGACCTAGAACGCAAAAACAAGACTAGTCAGATACCATTTTATCAAGCCAAGCTGTATGATCATAGTACTCACCCATTTGTACGTATCATCCGAGTTAGAAGGGCAGAGCTTCTTGTCATCAGGCGCAGTGAAGGAGCGCGATGCTTCGGGGATTTCTTGCGTAGTCGCCCAGGACTTGACGACGATATCTTGGAGTTGGGTTGCTGTCATGGGGATGTAGGTGCCGTCGTACTGCTGGCAGGCAACATTGGAGAAGCCGTTGAACTTTGCGGCCATGGTTGCGGCGGCAAAGAACGCGGCGGGGAGGAGGTACTGGAGTTGCATCTTGGGATATCTGTTGAGGTTGGAGAATGAAGTTTGAAGTGGTGATGTGCGACTGTAGATCTAGAGTGATGAAGCAAAAAACGGAGGATGTGAAGATCTTTATGTATTCATCATTGTACCTGCGTATTGTAGGGCCGAGATATTTAATATTTGCTCATGCGCTGAATTGCTAAGAGATGCGCATACGTCAGATGCACTGTGCTATGCTGCGCTGCGCTGGAAACGCGGTCAGTCATTTTACCAGGTAAGCCTAGATGCGAGAAACACCGAATACGCAGATATCGCATCAATCATCGTAAGATTTGGCACATGGGAGAGCTCAAACAACCACTCGATTAGCGCACGAGATTTCGACACGGAGAAATTCAATGCGATGATGCGGTGAACTTGGCTGACAGAACGCTTACAGAAGAGCGGATTGTGTGCGTATGTACATGATACCCAGCCGGAGGTTTGGCGTCGGACCGAAAATATAGTGATGTTCATTCATTGTGCTTCATAAACATCCGTAGTACGTCGCAAAGGAGATGTCCAGACCGCTAGAAAGGTGGCTGAGCCGGCTAATCAAGCGTGGCTGGAAAGACAGAAACGCGCCGAATTGAGGCCGGTCGCACACTACGCGATCACACCAATCCTGTCAACATCCGGCGCGTACGCACTTCCAACACCAGAGATGGTGATGGTATTGGTACCCGTGGTGCTGAAACCCGACAACTCGACGCCGTAGTTCTTATATACATCTTTGTCCCAGTTGTATCCGCTCAGAGGGAAGCTGACGGTCTTTGCCGCACCTCCGTTCACGCTAATCGCTGCGACGCGCTCGTTGCTGCCGCCCATGTAGTCGACCTGGCCGTTGATGTAGTCAAAGTACACTGTCTGTGTCGCTTTGGAGGTGCGGATGTTGGAGAGCGTTACGCGACCGTTTGACGAGCCGCCCAGGTTGCCGACTTTGTTGGACGAGGTGCAGCCGGAGCAGGACTGGGTGGATGCTCCCGAGGAGAGGGAGCCTGTCGATGCAGAGACGTACTTGTAAGTAGGTTTGGCAGCTGTCGAGCGGCGAATGTTCGAGAGGCGGATGGCGAGAGATCCGTGCGCTTTGACCTGCTTGGAGAGGGAAGCCTCGCTGACAGTCTTACCCGTCCAGAGATCTTTGATAGATGCCGATGCGATGTCGAGTTCGGACAGCTGCAGGCTCAGCGTACGCGCAGTGTTGCTGAGGTCTACGACCAAGACGGCCATGTCTCCATTGGCGAGGTCGCCAGCCCAAAGGTCGCGGTCCCCGCTCCAACGCTGACGGAGAGTGACCGGCTTGACAGCGGAGTCTTGGTTGATCGCAATCAGGTCTTTGTTCTGCAGAACAGCGACGATTTCGTTCGACAGAGCCGCTACGTCGGTCGAGACCATGAGCGCGGACTTCAGCATAGCCCACGCGGCGAAGTGCGTAGCTTGCTCGTCGAATGTCATACCAGAGTTGCCGACCATGAGCAGATCAGCATCGGCGATGTGTCCTGGAGCGACTAGACCGGACTTGGCGATATGCACAGCTTGGTTGTAGATGCGGAACATGGACGCCCAACCTGATGTAATGTCGTCCGATAGTCGGAAGGATGTCGAGATGGGCTTCGTCCATTGAGCGGGTCCCTGGAGACCTGTAGAGGTCGTGAAAGGAACACCCCATTGGCAGATTAACATTCCTGGGATACCGACTCGTTGTAGCTCCTTCCACATAACACCGAATCGGGTGACGAAATCGGTTCTGGCGTTCTTGGGAGCGTTCTGGCTCGCTGCAGGCCCGTCGGCGTAGCAGTTGTCATCTGGAAGGCTGTCAGCTTGATGATCACAGTGCGCGACCACGTTCCTTCGGACATACACTTGACGTATTCAGTGTTCAGCGTCTTGAAGAAATCCGCGTCCGCAGCTTCATGACCTAATGAGCCCAAGACAGGGCTCGGCGCCTCTGGGTCGCACATTCTCACACCGGCATCCGAGTACATTGTCCATTTCATGCCCTTTGATCTTGCAAGGTCGCTCAAAGGCTTCAACCCACCCGGAAAGGCTTTCAGATCCACCTTCAGTGCACCGCTAGTAGCGTTCCGTTGTCCATCTCTTGAAGCCCATCCGCAATCGATCTGGAAGAACTTGTAGCCAGCATCGACGAAACCGCGACTCGCAAGCGAGTTAATGGTGGTGGTGATCTTCTGGGTGTTTGGGCTACATGACATCTGGTTGTAGGAGTTCCAACCCATAACAGGCGTCTGCTGGAACGACTGCGACGCGACATGGGTCGCTCCAGCGAGGGTCAGAAGAACAGAGTTGGTTAAGATCATGGTGTGTATGTCCTGGTCGATGTGCTTCCTACCCGTCTATACGAACATCCCGTCTCTTTATACTTTCGCATTTTGAGTTCATCATCAACACGAAGAAGCCGCGAGCGACCTTTTACCGGTGGAAGGAATGAGTTCGTGCGTATACCTCTCGTATGCCGGAAGTACTCCTCGAAGCGGAAGACCTTGCGCTCGACATGTTTGGATATGATGCGCAGATCAGGGGACTATGATGCGCGACTTCAAGTTTAGTCTATTTCTTCCGTGGAATATATTGGAGGAGAGGAGTACTGCGGGGAGTTCCCGAGGCTACCTCCCTCATTCGGCACTCGCGTGGTTGAATGACCGGGAAGAGCCTGGGCATGATATACCGGCTGTATTGCCAGCTTTGTTTCAGAGGCTCGTACAAGAATGTTAAGGTTTTTGCAGCTTTCGTGTTGTGGCGTTGAACCTCAGCATCAGGCATCGATTTTCCCCACACTCGGCGCACCTTCCTCGCTACCCCGCGCTCGCTTCACCTTCCGTGCTCATCAGCCGACGCATCTTTCCGCCTTCCCTGAATAAGTATTCCGCGATGCATCATGTCCCTACTTGCAACCTCAACATCGCTGCATTCGCCTTACCACCCTTGCGCTTTGATCACTCATTGTCTCCTTGCTCGGCTAAAACGCCGCCATCGCCAATCACAGAGCTCAAGCGTGGACTGAGTGGGCCTTCGGCCTATGGGGTATGGGGTAGGTGATCAGAGTCTGGGGAAGCTCAGTGGATCTGGAGACGACCAGAGGCTTGTGAGGCTTGACAAGCTTCGCATAACGAGGATAATGATAAGCGGAGAAAATCCCGAGCCAGGGCTCATGCCCGGTATAAAGAGCTGATCGACGCTGCGACCCCGTTGCAGATGACAAAGTTTGGTACAGGCCCAGTGCATTGGACCGGCTATTGACATCTCTCGATTTGGGGTACCTCCTTCCACGACATCTCCTACTCCGCATCCACGATCACAAACTTCGTGACATCCGTAGCTGGGCAGGGAGTACGCGACCATGGCACGCAAATATCTTGGAGGCTCTGGTGAGCGGCTGACAGTATGGATTTCCATCGCTGCCAGTACGGTACTCGTGTAAGCTACGATCAAGACATCTTCCAACACGGTTGTCTGACACTCATTAGCTTCTACGGTTACGATCAAGGTGTCTTTGGCAATGTCATCATCTCAGAGAACTTCCTCCACACCTTTGGCTATCCGTCTGCCAACATGCAAGGTGTGATGACGTCCATCTACAACATCGGCTGCTTTATCGGAGCAATGAGTACCATATGGACTGGCGACATTCTCGGACGCCCAAGGCAGATCCTCCTCGGTTCGACGATCATCGGCATCGGCGCAATCATCCAGACATGTAGTTGGACTGTAGCAAGCATGATGGTCGGGCGCATCGTGGCGGGGCTTGGTACTGGCATGAACACAGCAACGGCTGGAGTTTGGCAGGCTGAGACCAGTAAGATGAATAGTCGAGGAAAGCTGGTTATCATCCAGATGGGTACGGCATTTGCAACATACAGTGTGACATTCTGGCTAATTCGTCAATAGCGAACTGCATCACCGGCTTCAGCATCTCGAATTGGCTTACTCTCGGCTTTTCGTTCGCACCGCGCGATATCGCATGGCGTTTCCCGCTCGCGTTTCAGCTCTTCTTCACCCTGTGCATCTACGCCATGTGCCCGT